GTGTATTTGTTGAGGTCCTCCATCATCAAATTAACTTCAAACCTCTCTTGCTCCTTATCTGAGATTTCCTTCATTTGCAAACGCATTCGGGTTGTTTTTTCTTGGTGAGCGCTATGGGTTTCGTTCAATTTTGTAATTCCGGTAGCAAAGTGTCCACTCGTCGGATCTTAGGACTTACCTTTTATCTTTGCTTCCTTTTGCTTATCTCTTCCCGGGGGCCTTGCAAAAGAAGGAGATGGGGTCATTTCATCGACATCTTCATCTCCGGCATTTGTGTGTGCGGCTTCACGTTGAAATAATCTTCCACATTGTTGGTCCGCATCGGTTCCCCACCTCAAACAATCCTTGAGGATGTCCCAAGCATGTTGCAACTTAAAAACTTGATTTTTTGTTGTTACTCTTGTCTTATAAATTTCCATTGCTTTGTCACCCTATGCAAAAAATACATAAAAATAATTAGTTGCAAACTAATATTATGTACATGACAAATAAAATATCAAGAATAAAACTCACAATTTCTATGGCGCCCCTTCCACTAGACATGCCAACCACGGCTCTTTCGAAGCTTCCCTTCCATAAAGTGCATGCTTTGTTGATAGTCTTCCACCGATCATAAACACCACCACCGTCCGGCCCACCGCCGTTGCAGTTTTCTTGAAACCTTGCAGTGATTTTATCCCACAAAACTTTTTTATTTTGATTTGTGCCAACTGCACCATCTTCGCTAACAGAAACTCATGCCAAGCATAAAGCAACATCTTCCTCACAGGTCCAATTACGACCTCTAATATGCTCTCTTGCCATGTTGAACAATTTGGAAATGGAAAGAAATGGTAGAAAGATAAATTGGAAGAATTGTAGGAGAAAATTGAGTTTTGTGTGGATGTTTGAACAAATACATAGGTATTTACAGAGTTTTTGGGTGAATTTTGAGTTAAATAATTTTTTAAAACTATTTTAGCTATTGGATTTAAATTTGGGCCATTAGATCTTTTTTTTACCGTTAGACTTGATTATATTCGATGTCAGCCATTGGATTCAATGTATTTCAAAATAACATATTTTTAAAAAAATTAAATTTGAATTTGGACCGTTGGATCAACCAACGGTCCGTTAAACCAAGCCTTTGGATTCAAATTATAGCCGTTGGGATTTTTGGGTGGCCAAACGGCTGACAGCGGGGCCCACGCCTGTCGGGAAAGGTTTGCAAGAGCACCGCGTGGGGCGCGTTGGAGTGTGACCGGGCTGAGACTGGCCCAATTGCCAGTGAGTCCAGTCGCATGCCCCGGGGGGTGGGGGGGGTGGTTGTGGAATTTTGGGGGTATTTGGCCCAACTTTAACATTTGACATTTAGCCCAATGTCTTAACATGGGTTGAAGATTGTTTTGTGGGGGGGGGGGGGGGGGGAGAATTTGGAGAGTAATTTAGCATTTAGCTCACCATTGGAGATGGTCTAAGAGAGGAATGCAAGTATTAGCCATACAAAAAATGATCTTGATTAACCATTCAAGACCTAATGCCTAAACCGGAGTCCCCTTCAATGTGCAAGCAATTGTAACCCAAAAAAATTTCATGGTTTGTTATTTTGTTTATTTAATTATTTTTTAATTTTCATTAAGTCGAGTAAAACATAACTCCGAGCTCATCCAAAAATTGAGCTGAGCTAACCTACCAAAATCTAGATTTTGATTTACAAACAAGCCGAGTAGAGCTGATTTGAGCTTGAAAAATCATTCAAGTAAGGTGTCCAAACTTGACTTAGATGATATTGGTTGTGGACAATTGTATTTGTGATGATGTTTCTTCCATAAACTTTGTTTTTTGAACGAGCTGTAATCACAGTGACGATCACTCTGGGGATCTTAACGGACATGTTGTTATAGTACATGTATTTGGTAACATAACTAAAACTGTGAAAACCAAATACAATTATTATACTCAAATATTGCTTGTATAGTCACTAACATGAATTTTATCTATGGACATGTCTAATTTCCTTCTCCTCCAATATTGCTTATATCAAAAAACAAAAGTCATTTCGACCCAAAAAACAAAAACGGTTTGGAACCAGTAGCCATGACCCAGCCAACTCATCTCCTCCAGCCATGACCCAGCCAACACATCTCCTCAAACTGACAGCCTCCCCCTGATCTCTATCTTTCTTCACTTTACTCTTCCTTTGTTGGGTCTCCTGAAAACATGTCTATTGAATGGGGAGGACCTTGCTTTTCAAAATCAGACTCGACCAAAACCGATTTGCAGGTGGGCGTTCTCTATTTCAAGGTATTGCGCTTGTTGATTTAAAAATTCAAATGCATTAGATTGGTTTTATCTTCAATTGAAGACTTACTTACACCCAGAATTGTCACCGTGAAATCTTAGACTAATAATGCACCAGCAAGTACGTCACTTAGATGTTACGCTCACGACGTGACATGCCGGTGTAGGTTGTTGGAAAATTGCTTTTAGTATTATTGTTATTTTAATAGGTTATCTTGTGGGCCAAGGATTAGGTTTTATTGCCGGTTAAGTATATGATTACGTATTTGTTAGAGATTAGGGTTTGATTTAGTTTTTTCTATAAATAGGTTGCTTTGTAACTCGTTGAATAACAAGTCAGTCAAAATGTAGACTCTTTAGTGTATTTAGCCTTCTTGGCAGTTCTGTGTTTTCGATTAATAAAGTTTTATATTTCAATTATTCATTGCGTACTCTAATTTTCAACTTAGATTAATCCTTAGTAGAATTAAATTGCACTGGATGCCTTGCTGATCAAGATGAAATCAGTGGATGCAGCATCAAAGTTAAATTTGTACAGAAAGCGCGTAAGAGCAGTTCCACCGGGGAACTGATAAGCCAGCACCCAGCCAAAAAACCAGCCCGGCACCCAGGCTATCCACTCCAGCCTAGCGTTTTGACCGGCACCCAACCCAAGCCAGGCAAGAGACCGGCCTAAAATCGACAGACCCATATGCCGGGCCATCTGACGTCAGCCGGGCCATCAACCTCCCGCACGATCAACACGTCGCAGAGATCTTGTTGCAGAGCTCCTCGAGGCTGAGGTTGAAGAAGGCCAATTTGTCGGCGGAGCAAAGGGCGATGGGGATGGGGGTTTGGGGGCCTGGGTTGTTGGGTGTGGATTGAGGTCTCGCATGACGGCCATAGCGGGGGCTGTCCTGCAGCGGTGGAGAGTGCCGGGTCTCTTCTGATGGCGGGCATTCGGGGCTCCTGACGAAGAGGGCTGCGGGTCTGGTTGGTGGACATAGTGATGGTGGGGTTGTTGGAGGTGGTGGAGATTAGGCTCGCTGTGGGAGGGAGAGATTTTGAAAGAGAAATCATCAGAGTCAGGGACTTGAACAGTGGGGGTGGGGGTGGGTTGGAGGAGTTGGTGTTGGGGTCCTGTTTGGGAGCCGAGAAAAGGCTCCCTTTCCATCGGGAAAAATAAGGGAATAGATTCTCTCTCTCGGTATGGACCTTAGACTTTGGAGTTTGGAGCAGTGGAGGAGTTTCATATCCCTTCATTTTGTTAAATTATTATTTTATAATAAAAATTAATAATATTTTAATAAAATTGACTAGGCTATTTGGTATTAGGGGCGGAGATGCTTTAGTCTATTACTGTACACTTGAGTCTATTACTATTTACTTGAGTGGATAAATGAGCGGGGTGCTGGCACAAAGTATTTAGGGGTGGAGTTGCTCTAAGGCCAGGAAGGGGCCTATTGGAAACTATGTGTTTGCCGCTACCATGCACTTGTGACTGGAAAAGGATAATCGCGGGATCTTTTTTCTAGAAATCTTGTGATCATGGTAGCTTATCGTATATCGTCAGGTAAAAACTTATTTAAAATTTAAAATTAAATATAAATAGCAAGTAATAAAAACTAATTGTACGATGTACAATGAACGATCACGATGATAAAATTTTCGAAATCCCTAAAAAAAAAAATCCTACGAGAATCCTTGTTCCATGTGACTTGTGAGTTGCAGACTCTTGTGAGTAGTCAGCTATCTTTAATAAAAGGTCTGAACTGATGATGCCATGGCCATGTGTTGATGTGCCCTTCATCTGTCTTTTTCCATGTGTCTGAATGCCTTAGAATTTTTGTTCGCGGAGGGTAAGGTGAATGAGTTGGGTAAAGTAACTCAAGTCAATTAGTATAATTGCTGGAAAGACAATTCTCGTTGGATTTTTTTTTTGGGGATTTTGAAGATCTTGTAATTGTAATCGTTTATTATATATCGTGTGGTTAATTTTTGTTAAATACTATTTATATTTAATTTTAAATTTCAAATGATTTCTAATCGTACAATGTAAGATGAACGGTCACGATGCTGAACTAAAATCTGATTCAGTCTCTGCGGGCAACTGCTCTCTCTTCTCTTGCTTGCTTCCCACTTTCAAGCTCTCTCTGTCTTGAAGGGGGCCTATTGGCTACTGTGTGTTTGCCATTGCCATGCACTTGTGACTTGTGAGTAGTGACTCTTGTGAGTAGTCAGCTATCTTTAATAAAAGGTGTGAACTGATGATGCCATTGCCATGTGGTGATGTGCCATTCATCTGTCTTTTTCCATGTGTCTGAACGCCTTGAATTTTTGTTTGCGGAGGGTCAGGTGAATGAGTTGGGTAAGTAGTTAAGTCAAGTCAACTAGTACAATTGTTGGGAAAAGGATTCTTGTCAGATTTTTTCTTTGGAGATTTCGGAAATTTTATATTTGTGATTGTTCATTGTATATCGTATTATTAGTTTTTATTAAATATTATTTATATTTAATTTTAAATTTTAAATTTCAAATAAATTCTAACTGAACAATGTACAATGAACGGTTACGGTACTGAACTGAGATCTGATTTAGTCTCTGCGGGCAACTGCTCTCTTTTCTCTTGCTTGCTTCCCACTCTCAAGCTCTCTCTGTCTTGATTTGCTTAATTGGATTCTCTTCTCAATTGCAACTTAACAAATCTCATTCATCTCTGATATATCCGTTCTCTTTCTTCGATATATTATCAAGCACTCGCTTCATTCTCTTTCTTTGATATATTATTATCTCGCACTCAGATGGAGTGCATCATTACTCTCTGGCAGATCTGCTGCAGATCGTTAACATTTTCTTCTTCGTCGTCGTCTATTGCTATTGATCCTGCAGCTGGGGCCGCTGAAGATGTTGATATCCCCCCTCCTCAAGAAAAGTATGATGTGTTCATCAGTTTCAGAGGTGAGGACACCCGCCTTGGTGTTACCAGCCATCTTCATGCTGCCTTACTTCACGAGAAAATTGAAACCTACATAGATTACAGACTTCACAGAGGAGAGGAAATCGGACCTGGGATTCTAGAAGCAATCGAGAAATCTAGGCTTTCAGTGATCATTTTCTCGAAAAACTACGCTTCTTCCACGCGGTGTTTGGATGAGCTCGTGCATATAATCAAATGCAAGCAAAGATATGGTCAGATGGTTATACCCGTATTCTACGACATCAATCCATCGGATGTCCGAAAACAACGCGGGAGTTATGCGGATGCATTTGCTGCACTTGACAAACGTTTCAAGGACAGTATCGACAAGGTGCACAAGTGGAGGGATGCTTTGACGACTGCAGCCAATCTATCTGGGTTTGATTACTCAAACAATTCCGGGTAAATAACTCATTCTTGAACTAGTATAAAAAATCTTTAAATTTGTGACAATTTGATTTGCGCTAAGATTTGGTAAAGCATATTTAAGACTTAACTATTGCTTTTCTACCTAATCATGTACATATATATGCCAGGACGGAGGCAGATCTAATTGTGAAAGTTGTTGATCATATTTGGACCGAATTGAATGGTGAATCATCAAGCATTTTGGAGTGCCTGGTTGGAATTGGAAGCAGCATCGAGCAAATAGAATCGCTATTAGACATTCATTCACAGGATGCTTGCATCACTGTAGGAATTTGGGGGATGGCTGGTATTGGCAAGACCACCCTTTCCCAAGTTGTTTTTCACAGACTCGCTTATAAATTCGAAGCCAGTTGTTTTCTTAGAAATGTTAGGGAGCACTCAGAACGAACTAATGGACTAGATCACTTGAAAAAAGTACTTCTTAGAGAGATATTAAAGGAAGAAGGTCTATCCCTAGGATCAACTTTGATTCAAGAAAGGCTCAGTCGTACGAAGGTGCTCATTGTTCTTGATGATGTGAGTGATTCAATGCAAATGGAACGTTTAGTTGGCAATCGTCTTTGGTGTGGCACTGGAAGTAGAATCATTATCACAAGTAGAGATAGGGGAATAATTAGGCAAACTGTTAAAGAGGACAAGATCTACGAGGTTGAGGGTTTAAAACCAGACGATGCTCTTGAACTCTTCTGTTCACGTGCTTTCAAAAATAACAGTACTCGTAGAACAGATTATATGGAGTTGGCAGAAAAGGCGGTGGATTATGCTGAAGGCATTCCTTTAGCTCTTGTACTTCTGGGGTCCACATTCCTAAATTGCAAGAGGAAAGAAGAATGGGAAGATGAATTGAACAAATTGAAACAATTTCCCAATGAAAATATCCGGAGAGTGTTGAGACTAAATTATGATGAATTGACAAGAAATGACAAGGAGATCTTTTTGGATATAGCATGTTATTTTAAAGGGAACCATGTGGATGACGTAAGACGAATATTAAATATTCGGGGATTCTTTGCGGTATCCGGAATTAGAGTTCTTGTTGATATGTCTCTCATATCAATTGATTCAACCGAGGAAACCATAGAGATGAACAATTCGCTTCAAGAAATGGGAAGAAAAATTGTTCATGAACAATGTATTCGCAATCCCGGTGAACGCAATAGGTTGTTCAACGATGAGGATGTCTATCATGTACTGAAAAGAAACACTGTAAGAGCCCAATGAATTCCATTTCCTTTTCCTTTATTTCTTTTTATTTACAAAAAACAAAAAGCAAACTTTAGATGAAAACACACCAAAGAAAAGCTCAGTTATAATAAAGAAGTTTGATTACTAAAAAATATACTATTGATTGAATTTTGTTGTATATATAATCACATTAGCATTTGTTCTTATTGTCAGGGGACTCCAATTGTTGAAGCCATATTGGTTAACTGGTTTAAGATGGAAAATCTGCAGTTGAAATGTGCAGACTTCAGAAAGATGCCTAACCTAGAGATGCTAATTGTATTTAACTCTGAAGAGTGTGGCACTTACTGCAAATTAACCGCTTCTCTAGATCTTCCTGATTCTCTGCGTTATCTTTACTGGCTTGGATATCCTTTGACATCTTTGCCGTCGAATTTTTCTCCTGAACATCTAGTTGAGCTTAATATGCGCAAAAGCCAAGTGAATAAGCTGTGGAATGAAGAGCAGGTATATATGCCTATTTAAGTTCTTGTATAAAATAAAGTGTAGAAAGTCTTGCTTATTAATTCTTTGTATTTTTCTTTACTTTTGTTACAGAGACCTGTGAACTTAAGAGTGATCGATCTGGAGTGGTCTAAAAATCTAACTGAAGTTCCAAATCTCTCTGGGAGTCCAAACATTGTGCGCATAAATCTTTGTGGCTGCAAAAGTTTGGCTGAACTTCCTAGGTGTCTTCAACATCTCGACAAGCTTACTCATCTTGATCTTTCAATGTGCACAAGTCTCAAGTATCTTCCAGAGATGCCAGAGAATATTGAATTCTTAGATTTATTTGGTAGTGGTATAAAGGAGTTGCCTGAATCAGTTTGGTCTCACGAAAAAATTTCTTACTTTAATATAAGAGAATGCAGAGACCTTAAGAAACTTCCAAGCAACAACTGTAAGCTGAAAGTCTCTGGTTGTTTTGATCTACAGGGCTGCACATCTCTTGGAGAGGTTTCTGAGCTTCCCAGCGATATAAGTGAATTATCATTGGTTGGTTGCGAGAGCCTTGTGAGTATACCAACCAACATTTGTAAGTTGAAATCTCTCAAGAAACTCAATCTCTCTAGGTGCTCTAAACTTGAAAACTTACCGGAGATCTTGGAGCCAATGGAACATTTGGAATATCTTAGTTTAAGTGGAACAGCTGTTCAGGAGCTACACTCATCAATCAAGTTTCTCCATGCTCTAAAAAAAATTGAACTACGGGATTGCAAAAGGCTTTCAAGTATCCCGAGTAGCATTTGTAAGTTGAAATCTCTTGAGACATTTGATCTTTCTTGGTGCTCTAACCTTGAAAACTTCCCAGAGATTTTGGAGCCAATGGAACATTTGAAATCCTTAAATTTAAGCGGAACAGCTGTTCAAGAGCTACACGCATCAATCGAGTTTCTCCCTGGTCTCAAAAATATTAAACTACAAGCTTGCAGAAGGCTTTCAAGTATCCAAAGATCATTTGCAAGTTGAAGTCTCTCGAGAGACTTGATCTCACACGTTGCTCTGCTTTTTACGAATTCCCTCAAATCTTGGAACCAATGCAACATCTGAACTTTCTTAGTTTGGAAGGGTCAGCGGTCGAAATGCTTCCTGTTAACATGTGTCTAAAGTAGAAGGGTATGCAAAGATTATGTAAATATTAGGAGTCTTTATTTATTTATTTTTTTTTGTCGAAAAATATTAGGAGTCCTTTATTAGGAAGGATATATTTTGTGTCTTTTAATGTTTCCTTGTGGAACAATGATTGTATGTGTTACTGTGTATATATCTTTGATTTTGTGAATAATAACATAACAAGAATTCCAGCCGTATTTTTCTATTTGGCATCTGAGCCTCAGTTGCCGTAACCCTAAACCAGAAAAAAAATAATATTTATACCGTGCTGCTGCTGCCGTGAAAGTGCAAGGGATGTGCTTGCTGCCCTTGCCATGAGTATTGTTGGGATCCTGCAGTGTTTCTTTTTGCCGCATTTTTGCAGAAAAATGAACATTGTCGTGCTGTGTTGCCGTGCTGCTGCTGTGTTGTCCGTGAATCAAGATGGTGAATGTTGAAGAGAGCTCGGGGCTGAAGTTGGAGGGTGGTGCACGTGGCTCAACCAACAACTCAGTCTTGGACCCGGTGGTTATTCAGAATGATACCTCGGCAGTGCCGAGTGCTGTGAAACTCAAATGGATCAAACTATCCTCTTTGGTCAAAGTATTGAGATGCATATCGCTGGACGTGGTAAGAAGGGGTTTGTGACAAGGAACATCAAGGAACCGAGTGAAGGTAGTGCCGATTTGAGATGTGGGAGATTGGGAATGCAATTTTGAAAGAGTTGTTGATTAATTCTATGGAGCCAACTATCATGGGATTTTTCATTCACCTTCGCACGGCCAAAGAAGTGTGGGCAGAGGTTGCTCGAACGTATTATGATGGTTCTGACATCTCCCAAATTTATGAATTGAAGGTGACTTCATCACGAAGCACATCCTACTGGTATATACTATACCGACCTCAAATCCTTGTGGCAAGAATTAGATCAACAAAGATCGATCAAGATGGAATGTGCCATTGATTTGAAGACGCTTCGAGAGGAGGTCCAATTGGATTGAGTTTATGCTTTCGTTTGGATGATATATTTAACAAGGTATGTAGTGATATTTTGCGAGCTCGACCTTTACCATATGTCGAGGAGGTGTTATCTGTGGTTAGGCGTGAAGCACAACGCCATACCACCATGATGGCTGGTAGTAACATGAGCATCCAAGGAGGGGCGCCGTCGATGGCCATGCAGTTTTTCTTCCCAATGCCTCTTCAAATCCATCTTCGAATTTTCATCCCTTTACTCGAGAAAACAAAGATGATCTAAAGTGTACTTTCTACGGTCAAACCCTCCATGCTAAAGATACATGTTTTTCGAAGCACGGAGGTTCTCTCATAAATAATACATTGACTAGGGGGCCATGACATGCGACTAGGCATTGCAATGAGATTTTCGAAACCAATCATTCTTGTCTTCACAAAGAGGTGGATTAAAATATGAGTTTTAAATCCGACAAAAGAATTACAAGAGTCTAATTGATCTCACAGCCTTGTCAATGAGAATCTAAAAGATTGCACACCGTATTATAAGATTAAGGTAATGAAAATAATTAATTTGATTAATTAGTTTGTGAAAATAATTAATTAAAATGTTTAATTAATTATTATGATAGTTAACTATACGTCTAAAATGAGCCTTGTTGCACGGAATCTAAAATAGGCCTTTTTACACGGAATCGAATTACTTTTTCTTTTCAAATTACCTTTTTAGATTTGATGGAAAAAAATAATTTTTATTAGTTATTATAGGTTACTAATTAAAAATCAACTTATTTATATGATCAAATTTTGATTAGGCCACTAAAATTACGTCATTAAATGTTCAAAACTGAGCTTAGTGACCTGTTAGCAAAATGGTCACTAGATACATACTATTAGTGACATTTCTCATATGGTCACTAAGAAATTGGTCACCACAAGCTTCTATTCTTGTAGGGAATCTCAGCCTTAAATTTTGGGAAATTTTAACGAAAAACTCACGGTACAGTTCACTTTAACAAAAAACCACATTTTAACACTAAAAAATCAATGCTGGTACTATTCACTTTACCCTTTATTTTGTCCTTATCATTAAAACTCAAAACTTTTAAACCATTTTCATTAGTTTTCCTTAAATTTTATCATCCTATTACAAATACAAAATGTGTACAGAATTTATTCACATGTCCTTTGAGACTCTGATAACTATCTACAACAACCCAAATACTTAGTAATATAACTTTTCTTAAACACCAAAAAATCAACAAATTCATTTATACTTCGACACTGGACGATGAAAAATAATCGAAACTTTTCATCGGCTACATAATGTTTCTAACATGACAAAAAATGCTAGTGTTTAAACCTGCTTTTTCTCATTACTATTCTTAACAATGATTAAAATATTGTGTTAAACTATTTAATCATGTTTTCAAGAATCCGTCAATATTCGAAAAATGTATGCAATATTTAAACACAAAAGGATAATGCTTGCATTCTCATTTTAGGGATATCAAATTTTTTAAATTAAATTTGTAACTTAAATAATATAATTATAAATGATGAAATTATTAATTAAATATCGATTAATGTGTTTATTTTTTATAAATAAGATTTCAAATTTAGTTTAAAAATTAGATATTCCTAACATTATTTTTTCCCAAATCACAGCAAACCCCAAATCAGGACTAGTCAAGTCAACTAGTACAGAACTAAATTCTGATTTAGTCTCTGCGGGAATTGCTCTCTGCTTTCTTGCTTGCTTCCCAATTTCAAGCTCTCTCTGTCTGTCTTAATTTGCTTAATTGGATCCTCTTCTCAATTGCAACTTCATAAATCTCATTCATCTCTGATATATCCATTCTCTTTCTTCGGTATATTATCAAGCATTCGCTTCTTTCTCTTGATCTTTGATATATTATCAAGCACTCAGATGGACTGCATCATTACTCTCTTGCGGATGTGCCGCAGATCGTTACCATTTTCTTCTTCTGATTCTGCAGCTGTTGATGCTGACAATGTTTATGTCACTCCTTATCAGGAAAAGTATGATGTTTTTATCAGTTTTAGAGGTGAGGACACCCGCCTTGGTATTACCAGCCATCTTCATGCTGCCTTACTTCAGAAGAAAATTGAAACCTACATAGATTACAGACTGAAGAGAGGACAAGAAATCAAACCTGCCCTTCTAGAAGCAATCAAGAAATCTACGCTTTCGGTGATCATGTTCTCGAAAAACTACGCTTTTTCCACGTGGTGTTTGGATGAACTTGGGCAAATACTCGAATGCAAGGAAAGATATGGCCAGATGGTTATACCCGTTTTCTACGATATCAGTCCATCGGATGTACGAAACCAACAGGGGAGCTATGCGGTTGCATTTACTGGACTTGAAAAGCGTTTCAAGGGCAGTATCCACAAGGTGCACAAGTGGAGGAATGATTTGACGACTGCGGCCAATCTATCTGGGTTTGATTACTCAGACAAATCCGGGTAAGTAACTCATTCTTAAACTTGTATAAAATTATAAATTTTCTTTAAACTTTGAGAATTTAATTTGTGCTAAGATGTGGTAAAGCATATTTAAGACTAACTATTGCTTTTCTACCTAATCATACATACATACATACATATATATATATATATATATGCCAGGACGGAGGCAGATCTAATTAAGAAAGTTGTTGATCATATTTGGACCGAATTGATTTGTGAATCATCATGCATTTTGGAGGGCCTGGTTGGAATTAAAAGCAGCATCGAGCAAATAGAATCGCTATTAGACATTCATTCAGAGGACGCTTGCATCACTGTAGGAATTTGGGGGATGGGTGGTATTGGCAAGACCACCCTTTCCGAAGCTGTTTTTCACAGACTCTCTTATAAATTCGAAGCCAGTTGTTTTCTTAGAAATGTTAGGGAGAACTCAGAACAAACAAATGGACCAGATCACTTGGAAAAAACACTTCTTCAAGAGATACTAAGGGAAGAAGGTCTATCCATAGGATCAACATTTGTTCGAGAAAGGCTCGGTCGTACAAAGGTGCTCATTGTTTTTGATGATTTGGGTGATTCAATGCAAATGGAACGTTTAGCTGGCAAGCGTCTTCGGTATGGCACTGGAAGTAGAATCATTATCACAAGTAGAGATAGGAGAACACTTAGGCAAACTGTTGAAGAGGATAAGATCTACGAGGTTGAGGGTTTAAAACCAGACGATGCTCTTGAACTCTTCTGTTCACGTGCTTTCAAAAATAACATGACTCGTAGAACAGAGTATATGGAGTTGGCAGAAATGGCTGTGGATTCTGCTGGTCGCGTTCCCTTAGCTCTTATAGTTATGGGGTCCTTGTTCTTCAATTGCAACAGCAAAGAACACTGGGACGAGGAATTCAACAAATTGAAACGATCTCCCTGTTGTAAAGATATCCATAAAGTGTTGAGACTGAGTTATGATGGATTAGACACAAATGAGAAGGATATATTTCTGGATATAGCATGTTATCTTAAGGGGAACCATGTGGATGGCGTAAAACGAATGTTAACTACTCGGGGATTTGATGCGGCACCCGGAATTAGAATTCTTGTTGATATGTCTCTCATATCAATTGATTCAACCGAGAAAGCCATAGAGATGCACGATTTGCTTCAAGAAATGGGAAGAAAAATAGTTCATGAACAATGTATTGACAATCCCGGTGAACGCAATAGGTTGTTCAATGATGAGGATGTCTATCATGTACTGAAAAGAAACACGGTAAGAGCCCAATGAATTCCATTTCCTTTTCCTTTATTTCTTTTTTTTTTTTTTACAAAAAACAAAAAGCAAACTTTAGATGAAAACACACCAAAGAAAAGCTCAATTATAATAAAGAAGTTTGATTACTAAAAAATAAACTATTGATTGAATTTTGTTGTATATATAATCACATTTAGAATTTGTTCTTATTGTCAGGGGACTCCAATTGTTCAAGCCATATTGGTTAACTGGTTTGAGATGGAAAATCTGCAGTTGAAATGTGCAGACTTCAGAAAGATGTCTAACCTAAAGATGCTAATTGTATTTAACTCTGAAGAGTGTGGCACTTACTGCAAATTAACCGCTTCTCTAGATCTTCCTGATTCTCTGCGTTATCTTTACTGGCTTGGATATCCTTTGAAATCCTTGCCATCAAATTTTTCTCTTGAAGATCTAGTTGAGCTTCATATGCGCAAAAGCCAAGTGAATAAGCTGTGGAATGAAGAGCAGGTATATATGCCTATTTAAGTTCTTGTATAAAATGCAGTGTAGAAAGTCTTGCGTATTAATTCTTTGTATTTTTCTTTACTTTTGTTACAGAGACCTGTGAACTTAAAAGTGATTGATCTGGAGTGGTCTAGAAATCTAACAGAAGTTCCAAATCTCTCTGGGAGTCTAGAAATTGTGCGGATAAATCTTTGTGGCTGCAAAAGTTTGGCTGAACTTCCTAGGTGTTTTCAACATCTCCACAAGCTGACTCATCTTGATCTGTCAATGTGCAAAAGTCTCAAGTATCTTCCAGAGATGCCAGAGAATATTGAATTCTTAGATTTATTTGGCAGTGGTATACAGGAGTTGCCTGAATCAGTTTGGTCTCATGAAAAAATTTCTTACTTGGATATAAGAGATTGTAGAGACCTTAAGAAACTTCCAAGCAGCAGTTGTAAGCTGAAATTCGTTGGTTGTTTTGATCTACAGGGCTGCACATCTCTTGGCCAGGTTTCTGAGCTTCCCAGGGATATAAGTGAGTTATCATTGGTTGGTTGCGAGAGCCTTGTGAGTCTACCAACCAACATTTGTAAGTTGAAATTTCTCAAGAAACTCAATCTCTCTAGGTGCTCTAAACTTGAAAACTTCCCAGAGATCTTGGAGCCAATGGAAAATTTGGAATATCTTAGTTTAAGTGGAACAGCTGTTCAAGAGCTACACTCATCAATTGAGTTTCTCCCTGCGCTCCAAACAATTGAACTAGAGGATTGCAAAAGGCTTTCATGTATCCCGGGGAGCATTTGTAAGTTGAAATCTCTTGAGACGCTTGATCTCTCTTGGTGCTCTAACCTTGAAAACTTCCCAGAGATCTTGGAGCCAATGGAACATTTGAAATCCTTAAATTTAAGTGGAACGGCTGTTCAAGAGCTACACGCATCAATCGAGTTTCTCCCTGCTCTCAAAAATATTAAACTACAAGCTTGCAGAAGGCTTTCAAGTGTCCAAAGATCATTTCTAAGGTGAAGTCTTTTGAGAGACATGATCTCACACGTTGCTCTGCTTTTTATGAATTCCCTCAAATCCTGGAGCCAATGCAACATCTGAACTTTGTTAGTTTCCAAGGGTCAGTGGTTGAAATGCTTCCCTTGTCTTTTGGAAGTTCTAGACCTCTGTTGCACTCGCATATCAGAAATCCCTGATGGTCACATTGGCTCAATCTCAATCCCTGATGGTCACGTTGGCTCAATCTCATTGCGAGATTTAATTCTGAGTGAAACCAGGATTAGGAGCATACGTGCAAGCATCAAACAAGCTTCTTGGTTGCATAGCCTAAGCTTAACCGGGTGCAAGAGGCTTCAATCATTACCAGAGCTCCCAGTGCTATATGATCTTGAAGCTCAAGGCTGCACGTTGCTGAAGACAGTGTCAAGTTCAAGGACAGCACTCACACAAGGTGGGGATAAACACGACTCTTTTGGGATTCTTCTGATTGCCGAAAATTGGATCATAATGCAAGGAGCAACATAAAGGATGAAGCACAACTTAGAATTATGCGAGTGGCAACTGTGCCTTGTGTTAGCACTGTATGTCTGGGAAAAGAAATTCCAAATTGGTTCAACTTCAGCTATCAAAGTGAGGGACCTTCAGTTCATATCAAGCTTCCTCCAGATTGGTTTCGAGCAGGTTTATCAGGTTTTGCTCTCTCTGTCGTTTCTTGGGTTTCAACTGCCAGGGAGACTTAAGGGTAAGAGCTAGTTTCAATGTTAAATTCCTCGGTGAAAGCCATGAACTGTTCACTTCTCTATTCTATTTCCCAATTCGGATATTGGATGACTACTGTTACGATCGACATCACGTGTATGTGTGGAGTAAGGCCTTTATATGTGAAGAGATAGCAAAAAAACTTTTCCCCTGATGTGTACAAACTTGCTTATGCGGCCTCTGTTGAGCATGGTGGACTTTTCCGAAAACCCCATTTCTGGTGCGAAGGTGTTGAAGTGTGGTATATGCCCTTTGTATGCGGAAGATGCTAAGAAATTCAAATTTGATCATGTCTTGGTGCCAGGGGAAGCATAAATACAAGAAACAAGACAAGATGATGAATCTGAAGCCAATTGATCAAGTTATCAGAACAAAGCAAATGAAGGTGATGATGAGTCAGAAGCCAGTGAATCAAGTTATGATCAGGTCGAAGTAAATGAAAGTGGTGATGAGTTCGAAACAAATGAAAGTGATGATGGCCAGAAGCCCTAGTCTTTTTGAGGGGTTTTTTGTCCGAACAGAGCATCAAATTGAACTTGTATATACCTTTGGGAGATGTAAGTCTAGCGATAGAGGTTTATACCTGAATGGAGCATCAAATTGAATTTGGACTAAAATCGCCAAATCTTGTCTTCTCGTTTGAACTGGATAACAAAATCACCAAATACAAAATTTATTTGAGATGAAAAAAGAAATTACAACAAATTAAGTCCTTAAATTTAATAATACAATCATCAATTTGTAACAAACGAAAAATCTATGGGGGTCTTCGCTTCAATAGGAGTAGGAGCATTCCAAAATTGAGGAAATATATGCCCGCAACAAGCTGAAGGAAAAAATAATGACGAAATGGCAACATGCATACACAAAAGGGAATGAATATAAAAGATACATGACAAGCTCAGTGATTTCAAAGCATAAAACACAAGGCCCGTCCCACCCACACAACGATAGAAAGGCTTTGAATGGCGATTGAATAGCAGACACAAAACGAAGCACAACTAACCGGCTTAAATGCACTCCAATGATCAGAGTCCTTTTTCGGAGTCTCCGGAAAGGCCTTGAAGACCCAAATGGGTCCGAGTCTCGTCTCAGAGTTTGACTGTCGAATGACGTCCTAAATGGAGAAGACCAAAATGCGTCCAAGTCTCCTCTTGGAGTTTGACTGTCGAATGATGTCGTAAGTGGAGCTGCTGAAGACCCGAAAATATTTGATTCTCTTCTTGGGGTTTGACTGTCCATTGACATCCAAAATGACCCTGATGATCCAAAGGGGTCTTGAGTCTCTTCTTGGAGTTTGACTGTCCAGTGATGACCTCAATGGCGCTGAAGAGCCAGAAGGGTCTAGGATGTCATCAAATGTTGGAAATCCATGACCCTGATCAAAATCTCTACTACTGTGCATAGAATCAAATCTTCCAAGCGTTTCTGGTTAAGGGAAATGTCCAGTATCTTGGGTGCTTCTAAACGAATCAAAGCTGGAGAAGGTGTCAAATGAAGGTTCTGAACCATCCTTGTACCTTGGTGGTGAATATCCTGAATTGAAGGCAGACATTGGTGTGTTGGGAACAGAATCATCGAAAGCAAAAGGGCGGCTCTTCTGGGAAAAGCTACCTCCTTGTGATGGCCCAGTCTGGATAGGGTTGAGGCCGAAACTCCCCAGGGCCAGAAAAGTAGTGATCCTTATTACTTTCCTGATCATATCCTACATCACACATAATTAAGAGCAGTTACCGCACAGTCCAGCATGCCAGTAATAACAAATATAAAAATGCAAAAACAGAAAGCTTGAAAGTGCTACGCAACCAAGCTATTAGAAAAGGAAGTGGATTCACTGGAATCTAGAATCCATGCCTACTTAAAAGGTGCAAGATAATGGAAACTTTCCATCGGCTGCAAAATGTTCCATGTGCAATACAGCACCCTCTGTTGTCAATGTAAAAATAAAAATGGTATTGATTAACCAAGGCCTAACGCCAAAACCAGAGTCCCCTTCAATATGAAATTAATTGCACCAAGAACAATTCCACGTCCCCTTCTTTTTATATCCACAGTGAACCAAAACTGAAATCAGGAAGTTCGGTTTCGTCCTATTTGGTCGAAAGACCTGTACTTCTAACTGATTTACATGATGAAACCATCAGAACTAGAAACTTTGTGAAGATAAAAGCTATTATTGTTAAAATTCTCAGGCCCTTCTTTAATAACTAAACGCAGCAAACATTAGGACACTTGAGGCTACTCTTGAAACAAAGGATACATGATCACCACCACAAACAACTTGGTGGTATTAACAGCAATCATGGAGCAAGATCCGGTTAGCATAAACACAAGGCCAAAGAATTGAGTTCCATAAAATAATAAAGAATACTGAATGTACAATATCGGCTTACCTTGGTGGTATTAAATGCATTGAAACCCCACTCCAAGTCAACGTCATCATTAGTGTCAAATCCCCAATGCTGGTTCATCAAAACCCTTGTCACCACACAACACAGACCCAGCACACCCGTTATCATCACTGCACATGAAAGTTTAGAATTTCAACAATTTTTGCAGGTATCAGGGTGATGTTAAATATGTAGAAAACTGCAGATCTAAACTATACCTTTGAGATTCGATATCACGGGGCTAGGCATCTGTGCCTACTGTCCTTCCATAGTAAGAATCTAAAAATTTTCTAAATGGGCTTCCAACAGTAGTGCTGGGAAATGGACTGTTCGGAGCACTTTTTGCTCACTCCTCTTCATTTTTATCTTATGCTGCTCCATTTTCAACAACCTTGTCATCCGCACTGAGGCTTTTCTGACTTAACATCAACTTTAGGAGAAGAAGCAGTTGGACTCTCAACTGGGGGAGCTTTTCTTTATGAACTGATGATGATTTCTGTTTTGGAGGCGCCAAGACATTTGACACATCAAAAGAGCTCCTTGACAAAAGTGAATCCTGAAAAGTAAACTTCTGAATCAGTCACATCGAATAGTTAAAATTCTTGAACAGAGTGGGAAACCACCACCAGACGACAAATAAACTATAAGCAAGCAGGCAATATGCTCCATTTACCTCAAGGTGAGAATGAAAAAAGAATTTAAGTGCTACCAGAAATTTATTATCTCAGAGACAATACTGGATCTATAAAAACTCATTTTTAGCATACCTTTGTCTTCAAACTTATCCCAATCCACATCCCACTCAGCAGCTCCTTCTTGGATGCCAGGTTGCCAGCCTCTATAAAAACAAAATAAAATTTCAGATTACAAAATGCAACGTAATACAAATACCACAGCAGTGATCCATAACGAAAAAAATGACGCACTCAAGGAACGCTAAATAGAATTCGAATAAAATGCAATGTAGCACAAATACCACAGCAGTGAAAAATAACAAAAAATAAAATGATGCACTCAAGAAACGCTACATAGAATTCGAATAAAATGCAATGTAGCTCAGCTAATGTCATAGGCTTTCTGCGTAATCCATACTTCTTGCAGCGCTCATTGAGAGTTTTCACAAGCCATCAAGATCCAAATGGATGCGATCAACAGGATCCTGAAAATTTCAGTTGGGATTATCTTACACAAGTTGAGCAAAGGTATTTCTTAAACAGCATGGTTATGCAAAGGTACCTGAAGGATGCCGTCAGCATCACCTTCTTGCTCCATCTTGACAATTGCCCTGTATAGCTCCATTTTCTTCTGTCGCATATAAATCACATAAGATAATCAGTCCGGTGATAATAAAAGGAATACACCACTACTATGGGTATGGCCATTCAACTGATTTTGAATTTTGATTGGCACTTATCGCATAAAAATAAAAGCACGGCATCTCACATGTACAGGCAATTATGACTCAGAACTAGCAAAACGAACAGCAAGCAGTTGTCACTTTGATCTTCGAATGAGCAAAAGCAAACATACAACATGGAGCCACTAATTGTCCACAATTTATATTCGGTGGAAGGTACCTGTAAATCAGGAAATGTGGCTTCTTCAATAGTCAACTTGGAAGCTACATCTCCATCTGGTTTGTATATCTCTTCATATTTCTTAGCCAGGGACTCAGCCTAGATTCATGTCGTCTTCATTAAGCCAAGACAGGTTGCTAAAGATTAACGCAAATATGTGCTTAGGCTCAAGTATCCTACAGCATACCTCACGTCCATCAGAAGATGCCCTTACTGTGATCTCACTAAGGCAAATGTCACATCTGCTCTTGAACAAAACCTTATACCAAAAAGGACAACAGATTAGAGCAAATATAACAAGGTAGTCACATACATCATAGTTTCAAAGCCACACATTATATATGTGATATAAAATAAAGCACTAGCATTCACAATGATGCACAGCATTATGTTAGTAAAACATCACTTCCGTTTAGTATGTTGTTTATCATTTTTTATCATAACACCGTCATACAGTGTTACTGTCCGTCCTTTTAGTTGTTAAAAATCTGCTTTTTTGAGTTGTACATAGAACTCTTAACGTAGAATTAGTAAAATGCAGGTGCAGAATGAACGACTAATCAATGTGGGAGAAGCTTTTAATTTTTTTTGGGTTCAATTTTAAATGGGTTGTTATCAACCATTGAATTGCTTTTGGAGTTTTCATTTGATAAGAGAGACCGGGGGTTCTTTTGGGTGAAACTTTTGATCCGTGAGATTTTTAGTTAGGTTGTGTTGTGGGTTTTTGCAAATTTCTACCGTGTTTATGCATGCATTGTTTGTTATAGATTTGGAAGAAAATAGCATTACAGGGTGTTGAGGGTTTGTTGGCGGGGGAAGGCAGCATCGTTAAGATTTTTCAAGTGAGATATTAGGGTGGGAGAAAAAGGGGATAAAGAGCATTGAAGTCACATTTGGGATTAGGGGTAGCCAAAACAGGGGAAAAAAATATGACAGAGGAATGGACTCTTAATTTTTTCTTAACTGGTTTGGGATTTTGCTTGCCTTTGGGGTCATCATTGGCGTCAAGCCATTTGGTGTCAAGCGGTGTCTGTTTTTTCATAACTTTAATTACTAATTTTTGTGTCGTTTGTGATTTTGTGTCCTGGGATTTTTGAATTTTATAGTTCATTGTCGGTTTTAAAATTTTTTTTTTTTTTTATCTTTGTTTGTTTGTTTAATATTTTGTGTTTGTGTTTTGCAAGTTCTCTTTCCATTGGGACCTCTGCATTTTTAAAGTGTTGAGGGTGAGATTTAGATACTCAAAACACTAAATTTTTTTTTTTTTCCAAATATGCCCGTTTGGTTCTCTTCGGTTTTAAATGTTTAAAATTAAATGGTTATTTGGATAAAATGGTTTATTAGTTTATCTTATGTGTTGTGATCAGGAATTCAATTGGATTGGGTAAAATGCTTTATCAATTTACATTATAGGGAATTTTGTGTATTATGGTCTGTGAGTTTTATTGCTCATCATTTGTTCTTTTTTCTTTGTTTGCCGGTTTCTTTTGCAGGGGATAACTACAATTTGGGCATCTTTTCGAGTTTTAAATTGCTTGAGGGTAACACTAACCAATTTCTGTTCTTTTGCATTTCAACTTAGTCTTCATCTACTGTTCTTTTGTAACATATTTTTTCACACATTTACTCTTTAGTGGACACACCAACCAATTTCTGTA